ATCTCATCGAAATGAAAATTCACAAAAGAACGTCAATCGAACTGTCTTACAGAATTTATTAACGGAACAGAAGAATTGCAAGCACAATTTATGTTAAAAAAATTGTGAGGAGTTGTGTATCAGTAGTAGTGGTTGGGAAGCTTTGATCACAAATTAATTTTTCGAATAATTTGTTGAGTAAATTAAAATTTTTAAAAATACTGTATATCAATTGGATATATACTTCTAATGAAAAACTGGTTTTTGAAAGCTTTCACTTATAAATGCAGACATTTTCAATTATTTTTGGTCGACGATAATTCTATTAAGAATTAGATAAACCGATATTCAGTATACAGTGTATTTATCTAATTATTACAGAGAAGTACTGTATATAGAAATATAAAGTTTTTAAAAGTCCAATGAATTTTTCGGGAGTGGTCCGTCCGAATACGTCTGCTCAACTCATCACCCCGACCTTACTAAAAGGGTGTCGTTAGAGCGACATTAGTAAAAACTAACGTAGTTAATTAAGTAGAATTAGCCACATTTTTAAAAAAGTAGAAATCACATCAGTATTGATTGTCGGCTTCCGGGCAGCATAATTCGCGCATCATCCAATTTTATTCGCTATAGGTTCACTGACCATAGAATAATTAAGCTGATTTTTACTTGCGAAAAAAAAGGTGACCACTCAGAACGAGTTTCCTCCCTCCCGACTTCCTGAAAGAAAGCGGGAACGGTCATCAATGGCCGGCCATCTGCCAAAAAGACAGTCAGCCGACCCGCTTCGCGCTCAGAAGGAAACTCCACACCTCATCATCGTGGTCGGTGTTGCTTACAGATTCGGTCACGAATCCGTTAAGTTTACTTCAGAAATGATCCCTTGAAGTATGATCTTAACAACACAACTCCGTCCCTTCCCCTCGTTCTACCACGTACTCTTCTATCTCCGGTGTTGTTGCCTTTCGGGCTCTAATTCTCCCTAGCCCTGCAATCTGTTGGAAAATACGAAAGAAAATCGAGTCCGAACACTTCCACGCCTACGATTTTTATAAAATATGTTTTAGTATATCTTTCGGTTTTTTCCGTAATTAACCAATAATGCAATTTTCGGACGATCTTAAGGTCGGGCAGAGTGGCAGAGAATCTGACGAATCTACGTTTAGTGTTTATGGCTACGATTATCGATTACGATTTATGACTATTTACGAATGTCGTTTTGATTATTTCTAAAGATCGAAGAGCAAAGGCGCAATGACGTTGTTATATACCTGTATTGAAAAAAAAGGGGAGCTTAATATCGACTACATAAACGCTTAAGCGAGTTGCTTAATTCAGTTCCCGCGTGGTCTAGTGGTTAGGATACCTGGCTCTCACCCAGGAGGCCCGGGTTCGATTCCCGGCACGGGAACAAATTTTTTTTTCTTTTTTGTGGTTATTTGTTGTTGGTCACGGCATTTTCCGTTTGTGCGCCGTGTGTTTTTTACGGCATTTGTCCACTGAATCTACTTGAACCGAAAGATGTAAAAATCGCTTGGAGATTACAATTTTGCCATAAATTATTTTCGCTTGTTTGTATCGTTTGTTCTTATTACGAAAGTCCATGTGTTTCTCACAAACGTGCGCTAAGCAAATATCGCAGCGCGTATGTGTCGCTTGAATTTTCCTTTCCTCTGACTGTAGAAAGACGTTATTCAATTTAGGAATTGTCAGTTAAGAAACACGATGTTTTGACATTGTCGTACGATTGGTACGTTCGTAAAAATTAATACGATTAGCGCGAATAATTTTTTATTAAAATAAATATTTTGATATTTAGAACGTTGGCCGTTTTAATAATAAATTACTAGAGTTGTCCGAGAACGTGTTAAAATGTTTCGATATTTCCGATTGAACAGTTAATTAGCTTTCCATTCGATGGTTCTGAGCATCACACTACTGGTCATGGAAGCTATATTGGACTTGAATTTATCAGATCTTATTCTCTTAGGACTGACACTCCGGTTGATGTTCGACTTAAGTCTTCCAGGACTATTGGCGAAGTCTATATATATGTCTGAGTAGTGCCGTCTCCTATACTTTTCGTGTATCGAGACGAATTAATAGAGAGGTTGCGCCCCAAGTTCAAACGTTACTTCTACACGGTTTACGTTTTCACTCAAAAAAAAAAAAAAAAAAAAAAAAATTGTTGCGGCGCACGTTCACATCATCAGGTGACTCAGTGAACGTCGCACAATGACTCAAGGGAAATTTGTTGAAAAAATGGCCGATACATTTATCATCGAGGGTTACCAGCGAAGGTAAATAAACAAATTAAACTATTTTAAAGTATTTATAGGATGTTTAATAACACTAAATAACAGTGGCGTGCCGTCATTAGAAGAGGTGGATACGCCGCTTTCCTTNAATCAGGAAATGTAACTTATGTTATTTTAAATAGCTATCGTTCCGCCATCTTTTACATACGTATTAGACGGAGGAATAAATATACTTTCCGGCGTGAGATGGCGCAGCGTACGGATTGGCAGAGGGCCAATTAAAGAAGACTGCAAACGTCGAAGATTGGCAGACGCCGGACCGTGCGTTATCTACGTTTGATGTGTGTTGATAAGGCGTCTTCATTCAAAAATTCACAATTGAGATGCTTGAATGAAGCTAAGGACGATCATAAAGGAAAAAAATGGAAACGGATGTAAGTTACGTCCTCGTTTCTCATACTCTATAGACCATTTTCTGTTTTTAGAATTGTTGATAAATATTTGATTCCACGATTTGTTTATATCTTCGTTTGCTCTCAATGAAACTGTTTGTTCTTTATTCGCTGGAAATTAAATGAAAATATTCCCTAATAATTAATCGAAGCGTCGTATTTTAACTCTTACTCCCTAAATTAATTAACACTTTATAAATTATAAATATTTGAAAATAAGTTTTCTGTGTAAATTGTTAGCTTGAAACTATTTAATAATTTTGTAAATACATTTACAATTTGTAAACATTCTTACTCCATTTCATTAATATTTAAAAAAATAAGTTAATTTCTTGTAAAATTTAACTTGATCAAAAGTAAATTATACTTTGATAATGACTTTGGTAATGTGTCATTATAAAAATACAAAAATAAAGATATGTGAAGAGATTAGTTTGCTTACATGTGATGAAACTGTTTGTGAATTATATAATTACCATATAATTAGAAATTTTGTAGACGTGAAATCAAAAATTAATTACGTATCATCTTCGTCTGTTGTAATTAAATTTTATTTTATGTTGTATAATTCGTTGCTCGTGTGACTGAGTCGGTAAAAAAGTATCTATTGTATTTTTTTATCGCTTTGGTCCAGCCTTATGGATGCCGGGTGTCAAAAAATAAATTGTTAGTTGCGGCATCGGAATCTTGCGTTTAAAGTTATTGATGATATTGTGACTGTCCGCTATCGATAGATACTAAAAATGTATTAATTATCTAAGTGATTGATCGTATGCTTGATGATGAAAAAAAAATGCATCTTTGAGGCTATCTTAACCTAAATACACGAATAACTGATATATATTTTGAAGATATATAAATTGGTAAAAAAAAGAGTTGGCAAAAAGAGAAGATATAAAAAAGGATGCTTTGTAGATAAAAAAAGGATGTGTTCTTTGGTAAAATTATGTCGCTAATTATTAATAATGATTGTTGTTTGATACGAAATCAAATGTGATATTTATAACTTTGTTTTATGTTCAGCATTGTCGAAAATAGTATGGATTTAGAACCGACTCCTGTTAATGTTTGGTTATATTTAAATTCATTTTGTTAGTGAAATTACATATGCATGTGTTGTTAACCAATGTTTATATATACATAAACAATTCATCTGAAGTGTAACTGGAGTTTTAATAAGAATTTAAATAATAGTTTAGTCTTTAAAGTTTCTAAATGTGAAAAACCGAAATCATTTTTTATTTGACAACATTTCTAGCCGTTTTATTTTCTGTTAATAATGATGTAAACTTTAGCAAAAAATCTTGTAGGGAAAAAAAATAAATGATTAAATAACTTCAATAACTAACCTTAACCTTAGCTATTGAAATCTTATTGAAATGTTAAAAAACAAAGTAAGAGAAATATTTAAATTTAGAAATGTAATATGTATTATTTGTTTTCTGATAAACAATATAGAGAAATGTGAACAGCAGGTCACTTATTAAGCACTGTAGATGCTATTTAAAAGACTCATTTTGTGTTTGTTCAGGTGACAATTGAATTTTACTTTCATATCTTCTTTCAAAAATAAAATCATAATATTAAAAATTTAATCTGTTTTAGTAGGAATTGTGATAAAGAAAAAAAAAATGAAATGTAAAGTTTTTAATATGACAAATATTGAATACTCATACAATGTCATATTCTGTAGTAGATTATGAGAAATATTGACGTGAAGGTTAAGCAGCTTATAAGACTTATAATAGTAAAAATAGAATATGGTGACAGTGTGATTAGTCAACTGAACTTGTTTAAATTTCTGATAGATTGCAATTTTATATGTTACTTTTTAAGTTATGAAAAATAAATCAAGTCAGTATTTAAGATTGCTGACTATTTTATACTTACAGAGTAAGTGTGAAATAGTTGGTAATCTTATATTGTATTTCCTTGAGATATCACAATATGATATTTTTTCTATTATTTTAAAAACATAAAATATTATTAATGGAACATAAAATTTTGGCCAGTTGCTTATTTCCCTTGGGATACTCTATTTTCACTATTAACTTACTGTATATTTCCTGGTGAATAGCATGAAGTTATCATGCTGTTTAATTATCATCAACCTACAAATTCTTATTCTAGAAAATATTTCTGAAAGAACAATAAATGCTAGTTTTTTTATGGAGAAAGTGGAACTATTTTATAGGAAACATCCACAAACATCAAAACTCCATTTTGAAAACATAAATTTAATGCAATATAAATGACGGAGGAATAAATATACTTTCCGGCGTGAGATGGCGCAGCGTACGGATTGGCAGAGGGCCAATTAAAGAAGACTGCAAACGTCGAAGATTGGCAGACGCCGGACCGTGCGTTATCTACGTTTGATGTGTGTTGATAAGGCGTCTTCATTCAAAAATTCACAATTGAGATGCTTGAATGAAGCTAAGGACGATCATAAAGGAAAAAAATGGAAACGGATGTAAGTTACGTCCTCGTTTCTCATACTCTATAGACCATTTTCTGTTTTTAGAATTGTTGATAAATATTTGATTCCACGATTTGTTTATATCTTCGTTTGCTCTCAATGAAACTGTTTGTTCTTTATTCGCTGGAAATTAAATGAAAATATTCCCTAATAATTAATCGAAGCGTCGTATTTTAACTCTTACTCCCTAAATTAATTAACACTTTATAAATTATAAATATTTGAAAATAAGTTTTCTGTGTAAATTGTTAGCTTGAAACTATTTAATAATTTTGTAAATACATTTACAATTTGTAAACATTCTTACTCCATTTCATTAATATTTAAAAAAATAAGTTAATTTCTTGTAAAATTTAACTTGATCAAAAGTAAATTATACTTTGATAATGACTTTGGTAATGTGTCATTATAAAAATACAAAAATAAAGATATGTGAAGAGATTAGTTTGCTTACATGTGATGAAACTGTTTGTGAATTATATAATTACCATATAATTAGAAATTTTGTAGACGTGAAATCAAAAATTAATTACGTATCATCTTCGTCTGTTGTAATTAAATTTTATTTTATGTTGTATAATTCGTTGCTCGTGTGACTGAGTCGGTAAAAAAGTATCTATTGTATTTTTTTATCGCTTTGGTCCAGCCTTATGGATGCCGGGTGTCAAAAAATAAATTGTTAGTTGCGGCATCGGAATCTTGCGTTTAAAGTTATTGATGATATTGTGACTGTCCGCTATCGATAGATACTAAAAATGTATTAATTATCTAAGTGATTGATCGTATGCTTGATGATGAAAAAAAAATGCATCTTTGAGGCTATCTTAACCTAAATACACGAATAACTGATATATATTTTGAAGATATATAAATTGGTAAAAAAAAGAGTTGGCAAAAAGAGAAGATATAAAAAAGGATGCTTTGTAGATAAAAAAAGGATGTGTTGTTTGGTAAAATTATGTCGCTAATTATTAATAATGATTGTTGTTTGATACGAAATCAAATGTGATATTTATAACTTTGTTTTATGTTCAGCATTGTCGAAAATAGTATGGATTTAGAACCGACTCCTGTTAATGTTTGGTTATATTTAAATTCATTTTGTTAGTGAAATTACATATGCATGTGTTGTTAACCAATGTTTATATATACATAAACAATTCATCTGAAGTGTAACTGGAGTTTTAATAAGAATTTAAATAATAGTTTAGTCTTTAAAGTTTCTAAATGTGAAAAACCGAAATCATTTTTTATTTGACAACATTTCTAGCCGTTTTATTTTCTGTTAATAATGACGTAAACTTTAGCAAAAAATCTTGTAGGGAAAAAAAATAAATGATTAAATAACTTCAATAACTAACCTTAACCTTAGCTATTGAAATGTTAAAAAACAAAGTAAGAGAAATATTTAAATTTAGAAATGTAATATGTGTTATTTGTTTTCTGATAAACAATATAGAGAAATGTGAACAGCAGGTCACTTATTAAGCACTGTAGATGCTATTTAAAAGACTCATTTTGTGTTTGTTCAGGTGACAATTGAATTTTACTTTCATATCTTCTTTCAAAAATAAAATCATAATATTAAAAATTTAATCTGTTTTAGTAGGAATTGTGATAAAGAAAAAAAATGAAATGTAAAGTTTTTAATATGACAAATATTGAATACTCATACAATGTCATATTCTGTAGTAGATTATGAGAAATATTGACGTGAAGGTTAAGCAGCTTATAAGACTTATAATAGTAAAAATAGAATATGGTGACAGTGTGATTAGTCAACTGAACTTGTTTAAATTTCTGATAGATTGCAATTTTATATGTTACTTTTTAAGTTATGAAAAATAAATCAAGTCAGTATTTAAGATTGCTGACTATTTTATACTTACAGAGTAAGTGTGAAATAATTGGTAATCTTATATTGTATTTCCTTGAGATATCACAATATGATATTTTTTCTATTATTTTAAAAACATAAAATATTATTAATGGAACATAAAATTTTGGCCAGTTGCTTATTTCCCTTGGGATACTCTATTTTCACTATTAACTTACTGTATATTTCCTGGTGAATAGCATGAAGTTATCATGCTGTTTAATTATCATCAACCTACAAATTCTTATTCTAGAAAATATTTCTGAAAGAACAATAAATGCTAGTTTTTTATGGAGAAAGTGGAACTATTTTATAGGAAACATCCACAAACATCAAAACTCCATTTTGAAAACATAAATTTAATGCAATACAAATGTTTTTGATTGCCTTAAGCAACCATCATCAGGTTACAGAAGTGTTCTAAATAAGAACATAAATTTGGAATAAACGATTTAAAAAAGTTAGAATGATGTCTGGTTGAAATTAACACTGACTTCAAATACAGTAGACCCTCTATAACACTAGATAATTTCGTGTTATATGAATTCCATGTTGTACGAGTTACGAGTCACTTAGATTTTACAATTACGTGAGCCATTCACAGCCCAGCACATGTATTTGTAAAAGCTAAGTGACTCATACAATATGGAATTCATATAACCTGGAATTATCTACAGTGTTATAGGGGGGGTCTACTGTAATGATGCCCATGATTTTGGAGTTTATTGTTATCCTTAAAATTGATTCTTGTTCTCTCCCTGTAAGCTTTGTAAATTTCTATTTTCAGTGTTTAGTGGGATCTTTTCTATAATATAATCCAGTTATTAAGATATTTTATTTTCAGTGAAACCATTTTTTCTTTAATGAATAAATTCACAAACTATTGTAATAATACTTATATCCAGTTTATTATTGGATTATGTTCATATGATATAATATGCAATAATAAGTTTAGACAAGGAAGTTATCAGAATTTCATGGTTTCTTTAATCTCTTCATTTGCCAAATTTGGCATGTTTGATTTAATCCTAACTAATAAAATGTCTTTTGTAGATTTTTCCCTCTCCTCAAAATTCTTATTTCTAAAAAATTTGATTTTATATATTTGATTATGAAGGGTTTCATCTGAGTTTATAATATAAATGTTTTTGGAAGAAGAATTCTGATTTCAAGATCATGAACAAATTATACAAAAATGATGCTGTTAATGAGAAAAGGTTATTACAAAATTCTTGTATTGAATAAAGATATCTTGCACATAAATTTCAATGTCTACATAAAATATATTGTACTGTACAGCTGAAACTTCTTTTAAACACACAAACAAATATTGCACTGACCTTTAGCATGTTTCCAGCAATTCATTATAATAATAAGCAAACGTTTTCGGCCTCTTTCAGTGGCTAGCATCAGGCTTTCAATGACGATAAAGCCTGATGCTAGCCACTGAAAGAGGCCGAAAATGTTTGCTTATTATTATAATGAATTGCTGGATACGTGTAAAGGTCAGTGCAATATTTGTTTGTTTTCAATGTCTGCATTATTGTTTTAGAATGATAAAACATTTTGCATAATCATCCCAATTTCATTCTTAATTTAATATCAAATTAACAAAAAAATCCCTCTCTTCTTGTTCCTTTATTTTTCTTGTTAAAATCTTTTGATTTGAATGTCTCAGTTCTAATGTTGCAAAATTAGCATTGAGAATTTTAGTCATTTAAACATTTTCTTATTGGTACCATATCCAGCTTTTTTATTTTTCATTAGAAGCTTTAAATTCATCTTGTATCAAATAATATGCATGTTACTTACCAAGTGTTCATTTCTAATTATTCTTATGTTTATCTGAGGTTCAAATAAATATATGATTGTTTTAACATGTGTGATAAAATTCTGAAAAAGTACCTTAAGCTAGAAAATTAAATTTTGCTGTAGAACAAAAAATTGCAATCTAAATATGGTTGAAATTGTTGATTTTTAGGTTTCAGTAAATATTTCTAGTAATATTTGGCAACATTTATGTATAAGCATCCTATTATATACTCCTTTTTAGTCTATAGAATAAGATATACTCAAAAAATAAAAATTGATTTTTTTTCAACTTAAGGTACAGTATCTTTGATTGTTACTTTTATGTATTTATCAGTCTATCATTATATGGTTGTCTTTTGGAGGAATATACTGATGGGAAACTGCTGTTTTTGTTCAAATTTTCTAAATGTAGTTGTTCGTGGTGATAAAATATTATCAAGTCTTTTCTTAAATTTTATTGCACATATCAGATTATTATTATATTTGTAAAAGAAGTTTGCAGATATTTGGATTTGTGCATTATACATTGCCTACTTAATATCACAACTTTGTTTAAATTCTGATGTTGAAAACAAATAAATTCTTCCAAATCATAATTAATACTGTTGACTGTCCATTAATTAGTCTTTGATGCTTCTCTTTTCTAAGTTCTCAAATCCTGTGACAAATTTTCTTGGCCAACTCTTATTTTTGCAATGGTTTTCTCATGCTGGTATATCTGGAATAGTTTTTAATTTCTCTATTGTCCTTTACAGTCTTAGACTACTGTAAAGTTATTCCAGAAGGCATTTATAGATTTATCTTTGGTGTTTTTAGTTCCTATTTTATTAGGATGAGATTGTCAATTGTGGTGAAGTCCTTTAAAAAGTGAATGATGAGGTTAAGGTAGTCCAAGACCTCAGTGCTGTAACCCATACATATTGTTCAGTCAGCTTTAAAGGATCTGATCTAGGCTAAGGCTAGATAAAGGATTTAGTATTAGGAGGTTAATAAATAACCTCTACTTATCATTTGCAAACTCATTTGCATCACTTGGGTGTTTGGGAACATTGCCTAGCACAAGTAGGACTTTAAATAGAAACTTCTTTTCATCCAGGTATTCTTTAACTTTGGGAATGAAGCAATGGTTTAACTAGTCCATAAAGAGATTCTTTCTCATTCAAGTTTTCTTGCTCCAATTTAATATAAAGGCAGTTTATTTTGCTAGATTATCTAGGAGCTCTTGGATTTTGTGCTCAGTGAACTAGAATGTTTTATCATGTGACTTGTATTGCTACAGAGGTGGAATGTAGCCCCATTCTCTTGC